AGCTGGAAGCCATTATCCTCAGCAAACTAACACAGGAACAGAAAACCAAGCGCCACATGTTCTCACTCATAAGTGGGAGCTGAACAATGAGAACACATGGACACAGGGAGGGGAACAACCCACACTGGGGCCTGTCAGGGCAGGGGCAGAGGGAGGGAGAATATCAGGGAAAATAGCTAATGCATGCTGGGTTTAATACTTAGGTGATGGCTTGGTAGGTGCAGCAACGCACCACGGAACACATTTACCTATGTAACAAACCTGCACATCCTGCACATGCACCCAGGAACTTAAAAAAAAAAAGAGATCTGTGTCTCACACGCATGCTACTATGTACTACATCTACACAAGGAACTCCTAATGGGGCAGCTGGGGAAGGAACAGGGAAGACGTATGGTAGAGCTTTCTGTGCTGTTCAATTTTCTAAGCAGACACATGACTACTTCACTACTTTACACAGGGGGTCCGGTGAACAATGAAACTTACAAAGCATTGCTTTCTTCTTATACATCCCTGAACCTGATGATCTTTTTCAAGAGATCCGGGACCTTTGCTGATTTCCCATCACCTAGAGCCCAAGTCCCATCATCTGGCCTCAAGGCTTCTGAGAAGGGGCCGCAACCTAGTAAAGAGCCTGCTGCCTGAGGACCCTTCAGCTCTCTCTGCCTGGACAGTGGCCAGTATGCAGGAGCCAGCTCTGAGGCCACTACTGAGGAGATGCCCCCTCCAGGCCGGCAGGTCCCTCCTCAGACTCCCCCTCCCACTCCCGTCAGTCCTGACTTGTGTCAAGCACTGATCATGTCAAGTCCTGTCCTGGTCCAGCTCTTGTGTCTGCCCCACCCACACACCGTGTACTAAGGTAGAGACCACCCAGTGCCTGCCTGGCACACAGCACGTGCAGCAGGTACACCAGAACAGTGTGTTCCTGAGTCCCCAGCCTTGAAGACACAGACAAAGCACCGGAAACTGGCAATGCAATGAAAGCAAAGAATAATGTCCCCACATCAGCTCCAGTGGTAGCTGGGAAAAGAGGGTGTCCTGAAGCTGGAGATAGCCAGAAGTGGTGCGGTGACCCTGCCCTCTTGGCAAGGGCCCCCTGGCCTTGGGGACCGAGAGCCGCCTGCCTCGCATGCAGCACGGCAAAGCACCAGGCCTCAGAAGAAGTCTCAGCGACGCACCACGTTGTTCAGGAGTCTGCTGCTTCGTAATAAAAACAAAGCTTGGAAGGTACCGTTTTTCCACTTGCTGGAGTCCCTCCAAAACCAAGTATTTACTGACATACTGAAAAGAAATTCAGCTCCAGCTCACTTAAGAATAGAGAGAAAACATTTCACCACCTGAAGAGAGAGTTATCTCACTTTGTTTTCCCCGCTAAGAAAAGTGAAAATGCTGTACATGTGTTGGGCTGGGGCCAGGAGTGGGGGCGCTGAGCCAATTCACCACTGAAAAATGCAGTGGCTTCGGAGACCAGGTAAGCGCATCCAGAAAGCAGAAATCACGGGCGACTTTTGAAAGACAAACAGCCTGGCACTGGCAGCCTGGCACGCAGCCGCCTTCAGGCAGAGCTGTCACACTCAAGAGTTCGCATTTGCTAGTCTTACCTTTTTCGGAAACGGCGACGGATCCCACCACAACTAAATCCACAAGGACCCTGGAATCCAAGCCAATGGGGACACTGCAGTTCCTCACACCCTGCACAGAGACATGGATTGGAAGACTTCAGCGCCAGCTGCTTCCTCATTTTCTAATTCATGATCAAAGTGCGCTCAGGGTTTGAATCAACCTCTCGGACAAAACCGATGCAGGCACACACAGCACCTCCGAGGTGGCGTTTCAGGAGAAGCCGCATTCCAGAAACCGCTTTAGGGCAGTTCCCGTCTCTTTCCCAGAAAGGTGGCCAAGGGGAACTCACAGCACAAATTCATAGGCTGCCAATTTCATAACATTTAACAAATCGTTTCTCCCCATAAGGCAGAAAAGCACAGTGGTGAGAACACAGGGGCAAAGTCCCAGGGAACTGGGTTCAGGGCCTCTGAGCCACAGGACCCCAGCAGGCTGGAGCTCTCTGAGCCTCAGTTTCTTCCCCTGTAAGACAGTGACACCACCCTCTGCCTTGTCAGACCAGTGTTGGAATTAAATAACAAAACATATGCATTTAGCACATAAGACATGGTCAGTAAACACTGTATGACATATTTATTCAATATAAAATCCTGAAGGGCACTATTTTTATGTACACTATACTCATTTCTAAAAAATTATCCCTTCACCCAAAATGTCCCAAAAGTGTATCGCTTTATATTAATGTAGGCCTGCATGTAAAGAATAGGGAAGTTGAATACATTCATGATTCTCATAACATGGTTTATGTAAATCTCAGGAAAAAGCCATTTTCAGTCCTGTATCCAGCAGTAACTGATCATTCAATGTGGCAGTGGGCTCTGTCTGTCAGTGCAGAGCTATGACAAGTTCCGTAAGGATCAGTGCATACGGGTGGCTTGGGGTTTCCCGACAGTCACACAGGGGCTTAGTCCAGGAAACCCTCCACTGCAGGCAACCCTGTGTTCTCATCATCTTACAGGAGCCATAGGGGGCAGGCACTGACCAACTGCACAGGAACAGACGGCTTGCATTTGTGAATGCTGACCATCACCATGGTTTTGTCTCATTTTTCTACCTTTATTTTTCCTCTGCTCCTTTCTCTCTCTCTATATATATATATTTTTTTACTTCATCGTATGTATTTTTATAAATCATATCAAATTCTATTTTTGGAATAAGCAGGGTGCTAATAAGTAAACAATAAAACATTCCAGTTTTATACATTAGGCTTAAGTGGCGAATCCCATAAAAAAAGGTATCTTGAATTGCCTTATTTTTTATTTCTCAGTAGATTAGAAATTAAATGACTTGGAGTTTACTTTAGGATTCTTAAAAAAGCCACCAAATTCGACTTCCTTAACTGTAAAATACATGACCAATTGTATCATAAGGCACCCTAACGACATACTTGTACACTTGGTTTTACTAAATTGCGAGGCATTCAAGAAAATCTTAAATTTATAATTGTCAGCAATTACTCATTTAGAACTGGTGAGGCAATTTCCAGTGGAGCACGTTTTGGAAATTCTATCCCATCTCTCTAGTCGCTCTGGCGGCATCTGACGAACAGGCTGGGGATAAGCAAAAGCTCCACGATACTAAACATCGCAGGTTAACACTGGGCAGCGCCGAGAACCAGATCACTCGTCTTCCCTTTTCTTACAATAAGGAATTTATAATTTGCCAATTTGGTGCAAAATAGAAATTGAGTTACAGAAATAGAATCTGTTTACTCAGTCTTCCTACTTGGCTCCGTTAATGACAGAATTCTTGAATACTTTAATATCTCTGTTCTTTTGGCCCTGTTAAAAATGAATTCCAACTGCGTGATGCTATCTTATGCTAACTTGTGAGAAGCCTTCACAGGGTACAGTTCTTTCCTAGGTGGGGACGGTGCTTCTGGCGCTTACCTGAGAGGTGGCACATTTTCTCAGGATGTCTTTAGTTGCCCCAGGGGGTGGTGTGATCTTATTAAACAACCCCGTTCTCAGTCGTGGTGTTGGAACCAACAATGTTTTATTGCTCTTTTAAAGAAAAGACAATCAATAAATTACAAAATTAAATTATTCCATAGGACTTTCTTATATGTGCTTTTACCATTTCAGGAGGAGAGGCAAATTACTATTATCTGCATTCTTTTTTGGTGTGTGGCAAGGAAATTACTTATTTGAAAACCTAATTAAATAATATGTGGGGTCGATTTTTCTTAGAATCACCACTCGGCACCTCCTTACCCTGAAGAGCCACAGTGTTTACTAAACTTGCTAATTTGACTTCACTTGCCATTCAAAATCGTTACAGGTAAAAATTGACAACAGAAATCCAAACTAAGGCTGGTTCTGACAACATCCCTAACCTCAACTTTCCTGTGCCCTCTCTGTGCTCAGCACCAAGTGCAACAGAGTTACAATAATGTTGTCATTAGAAACTGGCAAGGCATAGCTACCTTACTCAAACATTTCTATGCAGTTTGGCTGTTCAGCAAATCACAGTCAAAGAGACCAGTAATCATGATAATCAATACACCGACACGTGCCAATAGCCCTTTACTTCTACTTAGTTCTCAAATGCCTATTGTGAGCACCTCTACTACAGGGCTTCTCAACGTGAGGGCCCTGGGCCAGCACATCAGTGCTTCTGGCACCTGTTCGAAATGAATCAGCCCCTCTGGGGGAGCTCTGATGAGCCTTCCAGTGACTCTGATACACACGGAAGTTTGAAAACCGCTGGCTGAGATGTCTCATAGATTATGCAAGGGTAAGCCACAAGGCAATCACAAGATCTGTGAAATCTTTCATGTAAATAACAGTATATTTTAGTTTTTGAGCAGGAGATGACATCGCAAGACCAATAAAAGACCCATAACATCTGTTTGGCCTATTTCAACAAAGGCTTGTCAACCACGAGAGCAAAGGACTTCAACACAGCACTCTAACTGCCGCGTGCTGCTTTTCTGTGAGTGGTGGAGTGTGGCTCCCCTCATTGGCAGTGTTGGAGTCCTGTGCACCACATTATGGGGATCACTCTCTCTTTTCTAGAAGCTGCTCATCCTCTGGCTCAGTGGATCTCAGCCTTTCGTGTGCATTAGAATCACCAGCAAGCTTTAAGAATTACCGAGGTCTAGACCTCACTCCAGAGACCAGTTGGAACCTGGCATGGCCAACAGACAGTCTTCAAACCTCCTTGAGTGACACCACCATGTGGCTAGAGCTGGCAAGTGGCACCTAAGCCAGTGGTCCTGAAGCCTGCGTGCTTGGAGCACCCCCAGAGTATTGATGAAGCAGAGTCTGATGCCACTCTAGAGACTCACAGGTCTGGGGTTGAGCCTGGGAAGCTGTGCGTGTCCCCCACACTGGGGACTGTGCGGTCAGATACTGGCCGCTGTGCCTCTAGGTGTGGCCTGAGGCTGTGCATGTCCCCATTGCCTGCCCACACACAGCTGGGGCTCAGGAACCTGGATTTTTACCTGCATCCCAGCTGATCCTTAAGTCCCTTAAAGTTTCCAAAAACCACTGAGGACCCTGTAAGCACCAGAACTCAGGGACCACATGTGTGTTGGTGTCTTTCACCACTACATCCTATGCCCAGCACGCAGCCTGGGAGATAGCTCAGTTATGTATGCAGTTGTTTCTCTAGCCTGAATAAACGATGGCATGAAGCAACAGGGATTTGCTCAGGTCTGCATCCCTCTTCCAGGCCGTCTTGGCTAAGGCTGACCTCCACACGGTCAAGGTTTCTGATTTTTGCTCTGAGGGGCTGACAGCTGAGAACACCCTGAACTTCACACCTGCAAGGACTGGCTCTGGAGTCAGGTGGCTGGGTCAGAATCCTGGCTGTACCGAGACTGACGTGTGGTAACCTGAGGTGGAGCCTCTCTGCATCTGGTTTCAAGTGTCACAGAGGAGAAGAGATGGCTCCCACAGGACTACTGGAGAGCTAAACCACATAACACAGGGAAAACATTTAGACAGAACTGTGCCTCGAATGCAGCGACTGCTGACTACTGTCCTTCCTTGCTACTGCTGCTATTCCTACTTCTAGCTTATTCAAATGATTCATTGACTGAGAAAATAAGGCTGACAGGAAGCTACGCTTCCGGAATAGCCTACATAGAAGTCTCTCTTGGGACTGAACCGCCATCAGCAGACAAAACGATGTCCCACACGAGCCTGGACCCAGGGCAGGCCCCTTCTCTCAGCTCCAGCAAGAATACACTCTGCCGTTCCCCTTTCTTTGCCACGCAGTGTGGAAAGCGCTCCTCTCGCCAGGGCTTCTCAGGAATTTGACTTGACAACTTGGGTGGGAGAATGGTGTCAGCACACAATGTGTGGCCGCGTAAGGCAGAATGATGACGATGCTGCCGTGAGATGGCCAGTACTATACTCATGTTATCAATTGTGATTTGCTTCAGCAAAACCACACTAACCATTACATTACATTAATGGGGTGATTTGAATGTTACTGATTTTACAGTTTTGTTTGTATTTCACTTATATGCTTATTTTGTTTTATAGTTGCATAAAAGCTATCTGCGTTAAAATTTATATCAAGTTTTATGCTTATCATATTGAATTAGATTATAATAAACTAATTTAAACCAACCCTGGGGGAGTTTTCTTTTTTCCTTGAAAAGGGGCCTCTATGTTTTCAGTCGGGAAACAGTGCTCTAATGGATACATTTTGAGGGCACATCAGGCTTCTTACTAGTGATGGATCATGTTTCAAAGAATTATAATACTACACCTAAGGTAAAAAGAACTAAATATGTTGCAATCTCCCTCCTCTGATGAAGCACATCAAAACTGAGAATGTTTCCACGCCATAGTTTCTGTGTTTGGTTGGATAGGAAGAAAAAAAAATAAAAATTATAAGAGCATGCCTGAATTTAAAAAGTTCAACAGTGTTGAGAAGAAATCTTTCCAGTTCTTATCCCTGGTCTTCATAGTCTCAGAACATGACAAGTGACGTCTGTCATCGAGAGGCAAATGATTCTGTGTTCAGCCAGCTTGTCAGCGTGCTCATTTCAAATGGCAAAGTGGTGTCACCGTTTCAGCGCCGGCTCCTCAATTCTGGACCATCACAGGTTCTGTCTGCATTCCCTCTCTTGTGCGGAAGCCATTGTTTTGAACATCCTTTATCTCTGAATTTAGACACATTTGGGACTCCTGATTAACTGAATGCTAAACAGCTGAAGGGCTTCTGAACTATTCTTGGAAAAATCACCACCAAGGGCACTTTCTCTATTGGAGGGAATCAGAAGCACTGACTTTCTAAATACAAGACAGACGTGTGCACTGACCAGAGACCTGGAAAAGGTGTCCCCCTTGGCGGCCAGGTCTCGGCTCGGCTCAGGGAAGCGGAATTACCTGCAGCGCCAGCAGCCGAACGCCTTCCAGTGGTTTATCAGGGTCCACTTTAACTTCCTGTGTTCTGGCAAAAACGTCTAGGTCTTTGATGTTTTGGCAGGCCAGATAAGACCCCTAGTTAGGCAAATAGACAGAGGTGCACTTACTTCAAGGACGAAGAAGCGAGCATTTTTCTGGGGGGCATCAGGATTTACTTTAATGGTCCTGGCCGTTTTGAACGCCTGCAAGCGTGGGAGTTGCTCAGCAGCATGAGAAGCGCCCTGTTTCCAATGCAATCGCACGTTACTGAAAGGACAGCACGCTCTCAGGCCAACTGCAGCCCAAGCAGCTTGGCCCAGAATCTCACCCAGACAGGCACTAACAGTCACCCAAAGAAACATCTAAGGAAGTAGTCTAAGTAAGGAAAGGGATTTGAGAAAAGGAGCCTAATCCCACTTGAGTTTTAACTGAAATAAAACACGCACTCCAAAAAGAATACAAATCACGAGTGCAAAATGTGATGATTTTTCACAAAATGAAGACTGCTGTCTAATCACCACCAAAATCAAGCAACAGCATGACCTGGAAGCCCCACCTCTCTCCTGTTTCATTCATTTTTAAAGATTTCTACATGATTCTCTACATCCTTTATCTTTTCCTCTGCCAAGATACATTTCTCTCTCTGGGGTCAGAAGCATGAAAACAAAACACAGTAACAACAGAAAATCATCAAAAGAGCAGTTTTTCAAAGGGACAGGACAGTCTTGGAACCACCTCAGCTGAGGACCAGAGAAGGTGGAGCTTGTTGTGAAGAAGCCAGGCTTGGGGAGAGACAGTCCCCACAAAGTGGGGTGAAGCAAGCAAACAGCTAAGTCCTTCAGGCCAGAGAGAGCATTTTTGACAAGCGCTTTCTTTTTCTCTTGGAAAACAGGCATGCCAAAGATTATGAACTGTTGCACTGCCTCTTTCAACTAACCTTTTGTTTTCTGTCAACTCTGTTAGGAACAGCCATCTTTGATTGTCTTACATTTTGATCAGCTGGGAAACTGAGGCCCAGCATCGTTAGGCTGGCAAGGCATTCATTTCTTTCCGAAGGCGCTACAGCCTGGACTTCCAGTTCAGTACCCTTCACTCCCTAACGCTCTTAGCAGGGTCAATTTTGTGAAAAGCCATCACAACAATAACATGCTTCTGGCCAGGATAAATAATTTACTTTGTATTATACAGAAAATAGCAAGTAGCACCACCTCACCTAGAGACAACCAAGCCGCCCTGCACAGAGAGGCAAGAGGCTCCAGGTGAAGGGTAAACGACGTCTCTAAACGCTAAGGACGCCCTGGCCAAATGGTTTTGATTTCACACCACTGCTCACTGCTCACCACATTCTAATCCACCATGATGCAGTACGAGAATTTTATTACGAGTGTTAGTCATTTCGGAATATCTTGTTTTCCTTTTCCAGACTCCAGAAATGTGTCAGTACCTTAAAGTTGGGAATCCTGTGATGAACAGGTCGGGGAAAGTCAGCTAAATTTTGTGATTCCATGTGGTCCCAAATTTGCTCACGAATGTCCTGTTTGGAGACACCTACTGCAACAGAAGAGTCCCACTTAATAACAAACAAAGGAATTCCACAGCCCATGCTGAAAGCCTGCTCCAGTTACACGCTCAGCTCCCCACACAGGAGTTCATGACTATGCCAGACCAGATTGAGAGGTTTTTTGGTCTGTACATTGAAAAATGTAGTAAGTTTTTTTTTTTTGTTTTTTGTTTGTTTGTTTGTTTGTTTGTTTGTTTTTGAGGTGGAGTTTCGCTCTCGTTGCCCAGGCTGGAGTGCAATGGTGTGATTTCGGCTTACCGCAACCTCCACCTCTGCCTCCCGGGTTCAAGCGATTCTCCTGCCTCAGCCTCCTGAGTAGCTGGGATTATAGGCATGTGCCACCACATACTCAGGAACAATTATTAAAGTTCAGAATAAATTAAACATAGCCCTAATATTTAATCCAGTTATACTAACCTTGAAGCAGTAGGGGAGCCAAATACAACTCAAGCCTTGTAACCAAGCCCTCCTAGAGTCCTTGTTTGGGGACTCAGGTTCTGTTCATGTAGAGAAACTGTCCTCTCAGTCTATTCAGTCTTGATATAACTATGATTCGCTTATTCTTGCCGTAAGTCAGGTAAGCTTGCCTTAAAACTAAGTGATCTATAAGACAGCTATTATTTTGGATTACTGACTGCAATCCCCTTTATTAGTGTGGGCTTAATAATTAGATGACCATGTTGGCCTCATCTCCTGTCATTCCTCACTCTGAATCCAAAAGGTGGCTCAAGGACTGTTCTTCCCTAGCCCCAACATACCTGCCTACCTCCGTCTCCCTTTCAGGCCTGTACCTCCTCTGCTCTCCCTCAGGTCTAGCTTAGATTCCACCTCCCCCAGGAAACACTCTTTGAGCGCTGTCTCAGGCAGATGACCCTCCTTTAGAAATCTAAAGAGTACCCATACCATTTGGGCTTTTTTCTCAAACTGGAACAATTACTACAAGGTTACCACATGCATCACTTTCACTAACAGCCCAGAGGGCCTGGAATATCCCCAGTCCTGCGCAGGGTACCCTGTGGGACACAAGAAATGTAACACTGTGGCCCCTGCTCTGGAGTCAATTATCCCATAACAGTGATTCCCCCTAATAAAGCAATGGGCTAACTGGTAGGGGGAGGGGTCATTGCAAAAGAAAAGGGCAGGGCCTTTCCTTTGGAAAGTTACAAAAACATGAGAAATAATTAAAATAATAAAAGGTGACACATAGTAATGTGTGAAATGCCTGAACCCTATTCTGTAATTGTCTGCTCCCCCAGCAGGCTGTGGTCTCTGCTGCGTCAGCGTGGGTCTCATTCACCCTTAAGTCTCCAGTCCCAGCTCAGTCCTGGCACAGGGCAGGCATCTCAAAAGGTCACTCTAACCATGACGGCATATGATCACCCTCCGTCTATGTATTGTGTGTATGCTGCACACGTAGTATGGGTGGGAGTGGACCTGTTCACAGCTGGGGTTCCGGCATTTAACAGACCCTGGCACACCTTGTGTACTACTAGTATGGGGTATCTGCCAGGCAATCCTGCAAGCAATCATCCACCCCTTCCCCCACTAGCGAGTGACTTCCTACAGGCCAGGGGCTCTACCGGAGGAAGCCTCGCCAGTGCCCAGAGAGGGCCCCGCGCGGACAGGGCTTCCACAACCATCTGTTAAGACCACAGCAGTTAAGCGACCCCCGCGTGTAAGTCAAACCGGCTTCCGATCCTGCCCCTGAGCCTCAGTTTCCCCGACCTCATGGGGCCCACAGGCTCCCCGACGTGAACGGCAGGTGTCCCTCCCGCCTTGTCTTCCCGTTATCTTTATTTGGTTGGACCCGAACCCTGCACAGACCCTCTCCGACCCCCTCGCCCGCCTCTGGTGATTCTGCGCCATCCTCTGCCAGCCCTCGTGGCCCCGCCTTGACCCTCACCAGTCCCGGCCGTCCCTCCCCACTCCCAGCCGCCCGGGGGCCGCGCCGCGCCTTGAAGCAGTAGGGGAACCAAATACAACTCAAGCCTTGTAACCAAGCCCTCCTAGAGTCCTTGTTTGGGGACTCAGGTTCTGTTCATGTAGAGAAACTG